AAGTATTGTTTGACTAGTAGGATCCCTAATTCCATTTCTACTACCCTTATTAGTATAGTTTTGTATACTCCTAGGATTTTCTTTAGGCTTTAGGTTTAGGACCTACTAACTAGTTGCTTAATCCTTTTTAGTGTTTTCTCCTAGGCTGTCTATATCTATGCTCTATATAGTATTGCTAGCTTAACAATTGCTTTGTATATAACTTTAGCTTTCTCGAATATAGCCCCCTATATAGAGGCTATAAGCCTATTAATGGATTGTATATTAGCATCTGCCCTCTGCTTTGCCTTCTTTACTTATAGTCCCTAATTTAGTTTTGGATCTAGCTAGATCCCTAGTACCCTAAGCTCTACTAATAGTTAGGTTTTAAAGCCTTGAATAGTGATTGATTGCTTTATATTATAGGTTGATTTAGCCTTGCTAAAGTAGATAAGCTAGTACTTTTCTAGGGCGAATTTTGCTCTATGCCTCCTTGCCTATTTTTTATACTCCTAGTGCTTCTCTTCTAGGATCTTATAGTTAGTTTCTATTATCTTAGACTAGGCTAGGATGTTTGTATTATCTACAAACCCTAATGCTAATGTGTTTCTTAATTCTAGGAGTAGGAGTAGGTCTGCTATAAAGATAAGGAAGAGGATTAGGGAGAGTGTTAATCCTTAGGGGATTCCCTTTTCAGTTAGCATTAGGTCTAATTTGAATTTGCCTAGAATAAGCTGTATTGATCTTTCCTATAGGAAGGACTAGATAAATTGGACTATCTAGTTTAGTATAGCTTTCTGTTTAAGTATATATAGGAGCCTTTTATAGGAGACATTGTTAAAGGCTCCTAAGATGTTAAGGGAGAGGAGGGTTGCTACCTAGTTTTAACTATAGTGCTAGATATACTTGATCTATTCTGTAATTAATTCTATAGCTATTAGTATTAATCTCTTCTTTCTTCCTCCTATCTAGCCTTTAGGAAGGATATTCCTTTCCTCGGCAAAGGTTGTTAGCCTTTTAGCGATAATTTTTTCTAGTACCTTGCCTATTGTATTAAGTAGGGCTATTAGTCTATAGGCCTTAAGCTGTATATAGTCTTCCTTCTAAGGCTTCCTTAGTACTCCTATTAGGGACTTCCTAAATGGTCTTAGGTAGTATCCTAGTACTAGGCTTTGTAAAAAGATATTAGCTAGTGCTAGGGCTAGCCCCTTCCTATATACTTTTAGAAGTTTGTTGTAGATCTTGTCTTCTCCTAGTGCCTTATTGCCTAGAATTTTCTTTAGGATCCTTTTAATAGTTTCGGGTTTAACCTAGGTGTCTCTTAGTATACCTAGTAGTAGAGTCTCTTGTTCTTTCTCCTTTATATCTAATAGGTCTGCTTGTACTTTTCTATAGAAGAAGTATTAGCCTAGGGCTCTTGCTTTCCCTTCTATTATAGTCTATATTTATCCTTATTAGTCTATAATGTCCGGGAATTATAGTAGTATATCCTTATCCTGTTTAGGTCTCCTTGCCTATTTAGCTATCCTCTATATCTCCTCTAGTTTCTTTGTAATTATTCCTATTATAGATCTCTATTCTTGTATCTTGTCTTTCTTAATCTAGATCTTCTTTTCCTAGTAGGCTTTGTTGTAGTTGTCCTATACTTCCTAGGTATAGGTTTGTATCTACTGCCTCCTAGCCTTCCTTACTACTTTAACCTTCCTTATATACTTACTAGTCTAGTATAGTTACTAGTATAGTGAATGTTTCTTTGCTAGGGTATGCTTTCTAGCTACCTGTTTTAGGATTCCTATTAGTTCTTCTACTGCCTTATTAATGTCCTACTCCTCTAGCCTTAGTAGGTGCTTTGTTAAGAGTTCCTCTAGTTTTAGGTCCCTTTCTAGTTCCTCCCTAATCCTGCCCTATTAGGCACCTTTCTAGTTAAGCTTCTCCTCTAGTTCCCTTTCCTAATTAGCTTAGACATTTAGCTTAATCTACACCGGGAAGTGGTCTAATAATTCTTCTAGTTCCTAGTTAACCCTGCATCTTATAATCCTGTTCCTAATCTAATATAATACAAAGTATAGGTCTAGTGTACTGCTGCTTCCTCTTGCCTCCTAAGTAATTAGTCCCTTTAGGGTAACAATTTCTATTCCTTCCCTCTCTAATATATCAATTAGTCTTCCTACTAGGAAGTAGTAAGCTAGGGTAAAGTCTAAGCCCTAGAGGGGGTAGTAGAGGTTGAAATCCCTAAGTAGGATTTAGTAGGTGTTCCCCTAGATAACTCTAGGTAGTCTTTCTAGGGTTTTTAGTTAGGTACTGCTTCTTAAGTCTAGTAGTAGGTTATATATATAGTAGACTTAGAGTGTACCTTAGGATGTCTCTACTTAAACTAATGTTAGGTCCCTATCCTCCTATAGTATAGCCTACTAGGTTTCTATATCTATCTCCTTACTAATATAGATGCATATCCTTAGGGCTCCCTAGTTGTAGATAATTAGGTAGTATCTTAGGTCTTTAACTGTTACTAGTCTCTTTATATATAGGTTAAGCTAGGGCTCTTAGATTGCAATAATATAATGTTCTTTTAGGTTTAGTGCTTAAAGGAAGCTCCTCTATACCTTATCTTTGCTCTTATTAACATTGTACTATATAATGTTTAGTAATGTTGCAATGTTTATTAGGTTTTATCTATATTATTTCCCTATAAGTTTTCCTTTAGTCTTCCCTTACTTTGGACTAACATTTAACTAAGCTTTATCTACCCTACTTCCTTTCCTATAATGTTAAGGTATCTTAGTCTCCCTAGTTGCTAGTGACTCTCTTGTGCTAGTAAGGCCCTAAATGTGAACCTATTATCTTATCTAGACCTCTTTTGTAGTACTTAGCTCGGTTGCTTCTGTACCTAGCTACCCTAGCTTATTATATATCTTTTTAGTGTATTAATTCTAGCTTCCTTTGCCTTCCTAGCTACCTATATTCTTACTAGGCATTCCTTCGCCTATAAGGGGTGTCTTTTAGTGCAGTATGTATATCTTGCTTCTCCTTTATATACTTTGCATTCTTTAACCTAGTAATCCCCTATATAATAGGAGCAGGTATTAGTTGTCTTTATATACTTAGCTGCTAAGTGTCTATAGTATTAACATTTGAAGCACTGCATTATCCTATAGTTGCTTCTATGTATCTCTGTTTCTAATCTTTTAAAGTCCTAGAATAACCCCTAGTCTAGTACTATATTAGCTTGCTCTATACTCTCTACCTAGATAATTAGGGAAGACTGCTTCTTAGTCTCTTCGATTTTCCTTTTAATCTATACTACTTTTGTAATCTTTAGGCCTAGGTATATAGCTTAGTTTTGTCTCTATAGGCTCTCGATATCCTGTTCTTCCTTAAAGCTTCTTATTATACTATAGGCTATAATTATAAATTGCTATTAGGAGACCTTTACTGTTTTCCCTATCTTAGTTGTCTATTCTTTTTATATTTCTAGCTTCTTTTTGTCCTACTCTTATACTATAAATAGCTTAATTACCCCTTTACCTTCGTTCCTAGCCCTAATTACCTCTTTGACTATAATTCTTTCTACAATCTCTTTCCCTATAAGTCCTTAGATTTCCTTTTGCTCCTATAGGTCCGTAATATAGACTCTAACTACTATCCTTAGGGGTTTTAGCGCCTCCTAACTAGCTACTACTGCCTAGGTACGGTAGTTTAGACTTGTCTCCTATTGTTTCTTCGTAATCTTTGCTACGACTATATTAGCTACCTTTATAATTACGTAGTTTGCCTAGTTATAGATTGCTTTTAGTCCTCTAAGGAGTTCTGAGATTATTATCCTATATACCCTCTTAGGGGTTCTTCTATCTTCCGCCTTTAGCACCTCTTCTGCCCTAGTATATAGTGCTTTCTATTCGTCCTCCCTTCCTTCTTAACTGTCTTCCCTTCGTCTCTAATTATTCGCTGCTATTTTTTTATACCTAGTATATTAGCTCCCCTATATAGGTTGTCTATATCTCCTTGTTACTATATAGTAATATAGTAATTACTATATAGCGGCATTATATAAGCAATAATAATAACGATAGGCTACTTAGTAATAGTACTACTAGTCGCTTATATAGCTAGTAGGAAGGCCGCTTTATTACTAGGTACTATAGCAATAGCACTATTAGTCTACTTAGTAATAGTAGTATACTAGCTAGCAATAGTAGTATACCAGCTAGTAATAGCAGTATGCTAGCTAGTAATAGTACTATTAGCTAATTTAGTTTATTTAGTAGTAGTAGTATACTAGTTAGCAACTAAGAGACTAGTATAAGCTAGTATATATAGCATCGCGTAGTTATAAGGCGGTAGGTCGCAATCCGCTTAGACCTAAGTAGATAGCTAATAACTAATAATACCTTTAATCTTACTATACTACTAATTTGCTAACAAACTTTAGCTTTATAGCTGCTAGTAGCAGTATTGTAGTAGTTGCCTAGCTAGCGGGGCCTATAGCGACGCGATTATCCGCTTCTATACGCGATTTTATATAGAACAGCCGATCTCGTAATCTCGGGTTATGCTAGGGCTCGGGCGGGTAGCTAGGGCTCGGGGAATCCTCGAGGGGCATATATACCGCGATTTAGCGAGATAGCGGACGGCGGTAATCCCTGAAAACGGGATCTAACTGGTCAAAGCTAGCGTACTGCCTAAAGGAATTATCCGTACCTTTAAAAAGTTCACGTCTAACGCTTTCAAGCTAGCTGCCGTTTACGGGGATTACCCCCGTCCGCCATCTCGCTTAATCGCAGTGTACAATGTGCATCGTCTGCCAAGGCGCAGGGCGTGGTGGTCGTCCAGACAACCGGGCCGCTTGCTTGTGCGGTACACAGCGAAAACTTCCAACGTCACACCTTACCGCCAGAGCACACACGCCAATCGTGACGGGGCCTCGTGGACGGCCTACCCTTGACCACATCGTCGCGCTACCACTCCTGCTACTACCACCGCATATTAGAAGGAGCCTGGAAAGCCCGCCCATTCGCGCAACAATGGCGCGGCGCAGCTCAGCGCGCCTTGCAAACCGCAAGTCAACAACACCCAAGCGTGTTTCCCTGTCCCACGATGCGCCCACCACTCGAACTCCGCGCACTGTACCGGCGAAACTCTCATCGCTGCAGGAGAGTGACGAGATGCCAGGCGCATTCCCCGACTCGCCCTCGATGGTCAGCTATCCAGACCTGAAGCAGAGTCTGCCGCAGTCCATGTCGACACCCCGCAAAGGCACGCCGATCAAGCCCAGCGAGCAAGAGATGCACCCGCAGCTACATCATCAGACGACCGCAAAGCCACGAGAGGAAGCTCGCCATCTTGGCTTCTCGAGCATGCCACCACATACCGAGCCGCCCAAGCAGAAGGGCCCTCTTGCCGCACTGCAAGCAACTCCTAGCAGGACGCGCAACCTCGAAAACGATCTCAAGTCTCCTGCCTTCCACTTCACATTTCGTCGCGAGCACTCGCTGGAGCTGAGTCCAGAGGCTAAGACGCTCATGAACGAGCAGCGGGAGAAGGCGGCTTTGATCAGAGAGCAAATGCTTTCCAGCGGCGAAGGCGTACAGAGCATCGACCAGATGGTGGCGGCGCGTAGGATCGCTCAACCGAAGGGCCGATTCTCCCAGGCACATTTGAAAGAATTCGAGAAAATGGAGTCAATTGCTGGTCATGCCAGTGCCTTCCGCGCAGATCCATCGCGTCTTAAGGCGGTCACCGAGAAGAGAGATGAGACGAAGTCGCTCAAGCGAAGCCCTTCCAAGGCGAGACTGGACGAACCAGATACGCCTTCATCACGACCTACCTCACGTGAAGGTCCAAAGCCGACGCCAAGCTTCAAAGGCAGTGGCCTGCCACGCTCGACTTCTACAAAAGATCTCAAGAGTGCCGTGGCAGCTGCGCCACGTTCGCCCACTAAGCGAATTAAGCGTGCAGAGACTGACGATGTGTCGGCTAATCGCCCACCATCGAGTGAGAGCGACAAGTCATTGCCGTCCACGCCTAAGCAGCTTCAGTCGAAAGCAAGCGCACCGAATCTTGCAGCGCTTACGACACCAACACAGGCTTCCCTCGCCCGTGCTGCCAGTGTCAAGTCTACGAAGACAAGCAAAATCCCAGCTCCTCAGCTCTCGCTGGCAAAGCTTTCAGCCGCAGCACCTATCGCTATGCCTGCAGCGATTCAGTCCACGCCAATCAAAGCAGCCCCAGCTGAGCAGAAGACAGCGACTCCTCTGCTCGCCAAGTCCCCGTCAAAAGCGTCTCTCTTTGCCACCAAGCCGACCGTGACTGCTCCAGTCGAGCAGCCAAGCTCAATGATGAGTGCAGCTCTCGCTCGGTCACCAATTAAGAGTGGTATGTCTAAGAGAATGGGAGCAGAACAGAACGCCGAAGAGATGCCCAAGGAAAAGCCTGTTCCATTCCTGTCCAGATCACCAGTCAAAGCAGCAGTCAGTCAGGCTTCCAAGGAAGAGTCATCACATGAGCAAAATACAACAACTCCATTCTTGGCGCGATCTCCCACCAAGCTTCCCATGGCGTCGGCACCGGTCACGGAAACTCCTGACAAGAGCGCTTCGAGCAAATTGATGGGCCGCTTCAACTTGCTCCGTCAGTCACCGATGAAGTCTATCTTGAGAACGCCACAGCGTCTGTACTCTGAAGATCCTGCAAAGGTCGCAGCAGGCACTCACCTTGCAACTCCGCCGGGCCAGCGAGCTGCCGATCTGAACAAGACCTTGCCAGCTGCTCCACATACTGCGAGCCATACATCCAAGAAGGTTGACTTTTCGTCGTCCACAAAAGCGCGCGATCTGAAATCACAAGAGCGTCAATCTTCTGAGTCTAAGACACCTACGCCTTCCCCTAAGAGTGAACGTACTGTCAGTATGGTGCCACAGCCGGAGCCGGAGGCAGTCTCCAATGCACCCGCATACCCAACATTACCACTTGAGGTGCCGACCTACGATCGGATGCCATCGCTCTCTCCATCTCCGCAGAAGCGCCGACAAACAGCTGGACCGCAGGATTTCACGTTCCGCGCCGATCACCACGGCATCATCTTCGGACAGTCACCCAATGCTCCAGCTTCTGAGGCTCAGCGACAGCGTCCTTCGACTATTCGCCACGTCTCAGCCGATGTCGTTCCATCTCCCGCTCCAATTACAGGCAGCAAGAAGCGCAAGTTCGCGTTCGAAAACCATGCTGCGACTGCTTCCAAAGACGAAATCGTCTCTCCAGCTCAAGGCACGAAGAAGCGCAAATTCGAGTTTGAAAACAAGATGGCTGCCGCTAACGCAGACTCTGATGTCGAGATAACGTCCGATAAGGAGAATACTCCAGCGCTTCCAGAGGCGGAGGAACAGGAAGAAGAAGAAGAGCATAGACCTGCCAAGCGAGCGAAGACATCCGCACCTTCTCCGAAGATGACGACTATCAAAAAGCCTTCCGCGGCGACTGCACCCACAGCAGCTTCTGCCGCACGTCGCACTACTCTCGGTGTCAAGCCGAAAGGAGCGAAGACCACCAGTCCTGTGAAGAAGACCACTGCTCGTTCTGGCACAACTATCAGCCAGAGTCGGCTTGCTGCGCTTTCTCAGCCGAAAAAGCGGAATTAGGAAGGACGGTATTGGAAGAGTGATGGTGTCGAGTTACGTTTCATGACTATGAAAAGAGCGCTTTGTTTGGGATTGTGAAGGACAGAAGGCTGGGAGGAGGAGGAGGAATTGCGTGGTTTGGGATGAGTTGAATACGTCTTGTCAGGCATAAATTACTGGATGAAAGGGAAATGCCAGTACTACTACTACTACACTTGTGATTTTAGCATATTAGCATGGTGTTGGTGGACGGATAAACTGGAAGGACAGAACAGAACAGAACAGAACATTGTATATCTTAGTCGAAACAAGCATTTTCGTATGCATGCATGCAGAAGGAGACAGAATGAATGTATAGATAGTATGGAACGAACAAAAAAAAGTACGTGAGTCACTCACTCACTCACTTCATTTCGAACAACCGTCTTCATCAGACTACTTCCCACCTCGCCAACCTCCCCACCCCCTGTCCCGAATTCCTCACAATACAAATCTTCCCGCCATCTCTCTTCACATCCTCCCCCTCCTCCTCCTCCCCCACCACTCTTTCCCACAAAATACTCCCCACCCCCGTCCCCCTCCCTTCCGCAAGATTCAAATTCCTATTCCCCATCGTCACGAAACCTATCAGATCTTCCTCGCCGGGTACGGTCGGGTAATTTTCTGCTCCGGCTCGTGCGGGTTCGAGGAGGGATTGGGCTAGATTACGATGGAGGATGTGAGGTGGGGCGTTTTTGGGGAGGGGAGGGGGGTTTGGTTTTTGGCGGTGCAGGAGGGAGAGCCAGGAGGTTCGTAAGGTGGGGTTTTTGGAGGGGAGGCGGTAGATTCGGGCGTTGGGTTGGGGGGTGCCTTTTGAGAGGGAGGTTAGGGAGATTGTTGTTAGGGGGTTTGGGGGGAGGGGGGTTTTTGATTGTGGGTGTGGGAGGTAGGTGAGGGTTGGTGGTTCGATGGATGGTGGAGCGTTTGGTTTGTCGTTTTTGCCGTCCTTGGCGCCTTCTTTCGTGTCTGCTTCGGAAATTTGCGGAGGACCGTTGATCAGGCGCTCCCAGTCACATGCCCAGCCAGATCCTATTTCTCCTTTCTTGCCGTTTGCGAGCTTGACGGCATCCCAGTTGACGCGCTTGCTCTTTGGCCGTCGCCTCCATTCATCTTCGCGTTTCTTTCGTTCTTGTATCTCCCACTCCCATCCAGCTTTGGTGCCAGGAAAGTCACCAGGAAACCAAGGCCGTCCAGCCTCAAAGCACAGTTGACGCTTCTCATCCAATCCGCCAAATCGAGGCTGACCACCTGTCGATAATGGGTAGTAGATGATACCATACCAGATCGGCTGTACTGCTTTCCAGGGCAGTAGTACAACCCACGATCCTTGTCTTCGGTCTCCACCTGAAGCTGAATAGATTATGGTTGGTATTCTGGGATCGGTGGCTACTGCCTCCGGATACTGGCCAGGTGCTGCTAAGGACTTTCGTCGATTGATTGCCTTTTGACTGGGCAGGCTCGAGCTTGCAGCAACACGCGCGCGTCGGTCAAGCAAGGAGAACGGTGTAGAAGGTGCATCGACTGGCCACGAAGCCGTGAGCTCAAGCAATTTCATTTGCTCTTCTGCTGTGCTTGGAAGCTTGATCGTGCGTGGAGGGTGATGTAGTCTTGAGTCCTGCACGTTCAGACCTAAGACAACATTCTTAGGTATCAACGAGACGTCCGTGAGTCCAGCCAAAGAGCTCCAAACCTTCTCAGCACTTCCGCTGGGATATCCGGAAGAACCTTCTTCGTGCGGTGAAGGCCGGAGAGCACTTAAAAGCGCTTCGGTCGCTCCAGGACCTGTCACCTCAATGCTACCGATCTCGTAGCGAAGATCTTCAACCGTAATTGATGGCTTTGCAACTTTGCTGAGTCGAAGTATCTCCTCCCATAGCTGTAGAAATGCAGATGGATGCACCCGCAACAAGACCTTCCTCTTTCGCTTCGACAAGTCTTCGATTTCAGCTGTCGATTCAGGCGAAGGGGACCATATCACAGTCACGGGTGCGATCGGTCTATGCGGTGCTTCGCGCTCGAACACAAAACCATCCCATGCTCTACTGCCAGTGCGCCACTTCTCTCCATCCCTAGTCCAAAGATTTTCATCGACATTCAAAGCTTTCAGCAAGCCTTCGATACTTCTTTGCTGGCCTTCCAGACCAATAGTGGACATGTAGCTCACATCCCAAGCTATCGCGCCACGATCATTGGCGGCTCGATGCGTCGGTCTATAACATTTCGCCGTCGGAGTTAGAGGAATGGCGAAGCGCCACAAAGGCTCTTTTGGAGATGTCATGCGGGCTCTTTTAGCATGGAACATGTGAGTCGGCAGCCAAGTCTTATTCATTTGTCGTTTTCGAAACTTCGCTTTAGGCGTGGGTGCTTCCGCGAGTTTTGCCTTCTTGACTTTCGGCGCTCGTGCCTTGATCGCAGTGCCTTCGACCACCTTTTCTTCATTCGCTTGATCAATAGGCCTGACAGTGACCTTCTCATCGCTATCTTTCTTGCTCGCTTTTCGTTGGGCCGCTCCCAGCGCCCTGAGCTTCTTGGCTGTTTCCATGCGCAGTCGCATATGTCTTGTAGGCTTTCTTCTCCTAGCAGTCACTGTCGGAGTATTGTCTGCCACCATCTAGCTCAGATGTCAGCGATCAGCTCTAGCTAGCCATTTGATATCCATCCTCAGCCCAGATCAAAGGCATAACATACCTCCACCTTGGCGCGCTTCTGCAGGCGCTTTGGGACTCTCTTAGCATTGTGACTCGCCGTTCTTCTCCTCAGCTCTTTGGGTACTTGCTGGAAAGCACGTGTAGTTAGAGCCTTTTTGCTCCTGGCCATACCCTCTTCCAGAGCTCGAATCTCATACTCTCTCGCCTTGACGAACTTGTCCACGTCCAGCTCTCCATTCTTGAAGGCCTCCGAAGATGTCTGACTAGCAAGTGCCCGCGCATCTCGCTGCTTCGCTCTATGATCGGCCTTCGGCCGCTTGTTATCGCTCTTGGAGTTGGATGTATTCGTGGGCGGTTCTTTGCGCTTTTTCGAGGCATTATTTGTCGGCGCTGTCTTGGGCAGGTTTGGAGGCGCCATCTTGTCGCATTCATACACCCTGTATTATGCAGTGGCATCTGCGACTACATATTTCCCTTCCCTTCCTGGATGGTCGAATATTTGACCAGCACTTTGCTTGTGCATAGTGAGAATGTGTATGTAAATGTGGTGCCCTGTCATTTTAAACTTTTGACCGCGCCCGCATCGAGAACGCGCTTCTACGCGTCTCTCCCACTTCGACCTCGACCTCACTGCTTGCTTGCCATACGACACCTCCATCCACCTCGACGCGGCCATGTCGTCGTCGTCGACGTCCGCCAGGCCGCACCGGCGTCGCAGAGACGAGTATGAGCAGGAGACAGAAAACACAACCTACGAGACTGCTACCACGTCGCCGGCCAGCAAGCGACAGCGAAGAGACGAAGATATCAGCGACGATGACGATGGCGACGACGACGGCGATGACGACGGCGATGACGACGAGTCTCCAGATGCTCCTCTTCTACCAGACAGCTATCGTCGCTCTCCAAAGGGCAAAGGGCGCGCAATCGACGCGAATGGTGCCTTGGACGCTTCGCAAGAACACAATCCCGGCGCTATTGTTCGTGTCACCATGAAAACCTTCGTCACCTACACTCATGCCGAATTCCTCCCTGGACCCAATCTGAACATGATCATCGGTCCAAATGGTACGGGCAAGAGTACCTTGGTATGTGCCATCTGCCTGGGTCTAGGATGGAAACCAGAACATCTGGGTCGTGCGAAAGATGTGACCGAATTCGTCAAGCATGGCGCCAAAGAAGCCACGATCGAGATTGAGCTCAAGGCCGATACCGACATTCATCCCGAAAACCCTGTCATCACCTGCATAATTACCAGAGACGGTGGTAAAGGCGACGACAAGAAGACGACGTTCAAGATCAACGGCAGAAAGTCAACTCGCAAGGCCGTACTAGAATTAGTCAAGAAGAATTATTCCATCCAGGTCGACAATCTCTGTCAGTTCTTGCCTCAAGACAGGGTAGTTGAATTTGCCGCTCTGTCTCCTGTTGATCTGCTCGTCCAGACCCAAAGGGCTGCCGCGGATCCATACATGTCTGAATGGCATGAGCAGCTCAAGACCATGCGCAAGGAACAACGAGAGAAGCAGGCTGATAATCAGAATTTGCTCGGGACATTGAAGGATATGGAAAGCCGTCAGAGGAGGCAAGCCGAAGACGTGGAGAAATTCCGTGAAAAAGAAGCACTTCGAGATCGACTGAACGCACTAGAGAAGATGAAACCTGTCGCCGAGTATTCTCACATTCGCAAACAGCGTGGTGAGGCAAAGGAGAGGAGGAAGGCGGCCGACAAGGAGTTCAAGGCATTGGAACGCAGAATGGAGCCTAATTTTGCAGCCATGAACGCAAAGGACGCCTACCGAAAGCAGCTCGACAGAGTGGTCACGCACCGATCGAAACTGGTAGAGCAGACAGAAAGGAGACTGGGCGACGAACAGGGCAAATTGAGGGACTTAGGCGACCAAATCCGGCAGTGCACAGAAGAGTTGCACACTGAGACAGAGAGAGTCAAGAAGGACAAGGCCACTGTCCTTCGTCTTCAGCCTGATCTTAATAGGCTCAGAGCGGAGAAAGACAAGCCTCCTCCAGAGTTCGACTTCGAAGCCTTGAGCGACAAGATCAAAGACCTGTCAGATCGTATCAAAGAAATCGACAAGGAGGAAGACGAGCCCAAAGACCAAATAAGGAGTCTGGGTGAGCAGGGAAGACAACGCCAGGAAATGATCAAAGCGGAGCAGGCCAAGCGTGTGCACCTACAATCCCAAGCTGGCAAAATGAGTAGTCAAATCCAAAGACATTCGACTCAGTCGGCCAAGTTATGGGACTGGTTGCAAGACAATCGAGAGCAATTCTCTGGAAATGTCTTTGGACCGGCTATCGTTGAGTGCTCTGTCAAAGACAAGCGTCATGCGGGCATGATTGAAGCAATCATTGGTCCAGGCGACTTGAAAGCTTTTACGGTGGTCAACAAACCGGACTTCATTAAGCTCACCGACCACGGCTTCAAGACCATGAAACTTTGGGACTTGGCGGTTCAATCCGGAGCAAAGCCCTTGTCAGAATTTGAACATCCCTTGTCGGACGAACAGCTAAAGAGCCTTGGCCTTGAAGGGTGGGTTCAGGATCTCCTGGAAGGCCCAGAAGCCGTCTTGGCCATGCTTTGCAGCAATAAGAATCTGCACAAGATACCATATGGCACGTCGGACAATATCAGTGATGAAAAATTCGAAGCCATCAAGCGTGCGGGCATTATGGCATGGGTGACACCCAAAAAGACGTGGACTGTTGCCCGTCGCTACAGTCACGATTCTATCAGAGTCTCGTCTTTTGGTCCTGCCAGATTGCTCACAGACGCTCCGGTCAATACTCAGGCCGAGGAGGAAATTGGAAGAAAGATTTCCGAATTACAGGATGAGATCCGGCAGATCACTGAGGAGATGCAAGGCGTCAAGGCTCGAGCTTCACAATTGCAGCGGGAAAAGAAGCAGCTCGAAGGTGAACGTGACGACTTGAAGAAGGAAAAGGAAGACAAGCAGAAAAGGGTGGCCATGTGGCAGGGACTTGACACCAAAATCGCCAATTCCGAACAGAAGATTGAAGACGCACAAGCGGCAGTCCAGGCAGGATACGGCAAGGTTTCGGCCATCAAAGACAAGGAACTAGATCTGCTTTTCAAGAAAGGACAGCGGGCACTGGATTATTCCCGGCTGCTTGAGTCTCTTCGGAGATTACACGAGCAGCTGTTCGAGGCAGAAATCATTCGCATAGAGGCAGAGTCCGATTACGAGCAACTGAAAGCGCAGAACGAGGAGGAGCGAACACAGCTAGCCGAACGTCAGGCAGAGGTCGCGCGATTAGTCACGGTGGAGGAACAATTGCAGCGCGCCGGGCAAGCGCTCGTGGAGAGGATTCAACAGCTTTCAAGCGACCTCACAGCCGAGGAGGATGAGGTTCGACAAGAAATCAACGGCAAATCACCAGAAGACCTCGCTGCAATGATAGAGCAGCAGAAAGCCAGGCTAGAAATGGTAGGCCATACTGGTGGCCAGAACCTGCTCAAGGAGTACGAGGATCGTGAGCGGAAGATCGAGCAGAAGCGTGCCCAGCTCAGCACACTCGAGAGCGATCTTGAAGAGCTCGATGCGAAGATCACTGAAATTCGCAACCGCTGGGAGCCAGAACTCGACGGGCTCATCGCGTCAATTTCGGAAGCCTTTTTCGAAAACTTCGCTCGTGTCCAGTGCGCCGGTGAGGTCGCTGTCCACAAAGACGAAGACTTCGAGCAATGGGCCATACAGATCAAAGTCAAGTTCAGGTACGTCCCACTTCCTTTCCCTGCGATCAAACTTCACAACTAACACGTGTCACAGGGAAAATGAATCGCTCTCCATCCTCGACTCCCATCGGCAATCCGGCGGCGAACGCGCCGTCTCTACAATCTTCTACCTCATGGCCCTGCAATCCCTCGCTCGAGCACCTTTCCGTGTTGTCGATGAGATCAACCAGGGTATGGATCCTCGTAACGAGCGTCTCGTGCACTCACGTATGGTCGACATTGCTTGCGCGGAGCACACGAGCCAGTACTTCCTCATCACGCCGAAATTGTTGAATGGTTTGAAGTATCATAAGAATATGAAGGTGCATTGTATTGCGAGCGGAGAGTATATGCCTGATTCAAAGGAGGAGAACCGTTTGGGGACTTTTGAGGAGATGGCGATGAAGGCGCTCGCTATTAGGAATGCGGCTTGATGTACGATTGAAGAGAACTGGCTGGATTGTATGGTTTGCCCTTCTCTTGCCCTCACGCTTGTAGGTATGTGATTATCAGTATGTCTTTGACGTAGATGAATGTCCAATTCGCTTTGTGAGGAACTCTGGTGCAATCAAAGGAACTGAACGAGCATTTGAACGTCTCGAGCTCGCACACGCACATACACTCAAACCTGCCCTGCCCTGCCCGCTCGCTCGCTCGTCAAGGAGTGTACGAAAGTCGCGATGCATGACTTGTCAGCCATCTCCGTTTCAGCCCCTTCCTTCCTGGTTGAACGGCAGGCACAACACGCACGCACCTTCTACAACGCATTCTTCGAACTGATCCTGCACTGCACCTGCTTATTACTTCTTGCTCTCCTCCCTATGCTGTGTCTTTTCAAATTCTAATAATGCTCGTGCGGGAGTTTGTTCGAGTGACAGACATGGCAGCGCGCTCTGCTCGAGTCGTTCCGCACTAGTGCCTGCATTTTGGCTGACTGTGGCGCATCACGATCTTCGATTTGGCATGAACGTCAGAAAGAGCAAAGAAGGCCCGAAAAGCTCGCCATATACCATTCTTTTGCTCAGCGGCGCGGAATTCCAAATCCGCCGGCCGGCACAACATGAGGCTTCGCTGATGGATGAAGGGAACGCATGTTCGCGGGTGCAGATCAGTCTTGTCAAAGAGCCTGGAGGCGAAAGTTCGTGCTGTCCAACTCCATTATTCACTCGTCACGACTTGATGATGATCAGCACACCTCGTCCGTCTGATGAAGTGAAACCTGGAGGCTGAAGTGTCGTCGCTCTGACTGTAAGGGTATCCCTGGCACGCATCCAACGGACTGCACTCCGTAATGTGCAACGAGCGCCCATGTCTCAGCTTCACCACGTGCTATGCTCATTCATCCCATCCCATGCTGCACCAGCTGGCGAGCACGCCTGGCGGGTGCGCTAGGACGGCGGCGAATAGTAGGTTTTCGATGCAAGATGGATGTTGCCCTCGACCAAGATCTATACACGCCTCTTGTGGCAAGAGAGTCGGTCGTACGCCTGAAGGATCAGGCCCCCTGATCCGGAAGAAACCTTCTGGCCAGACAGATGTCACGAAATCGCGTCTTTGGCGCATCCTTCGTTTGGCCAAACCGGCGTCTGTTCTGCTATTGATGACATGGGCTGGAATAATGGAGAAGGTCTACTGTATACAGCTCCACGAATGCCCTGCTCTTCTGTTCCCTGCCCTGCATGCGCGAAAGCCACAGAATGTAGTACCTGGTTTCCGTACGGCGTGGCGGTTGGCGCTTTGACCCGGCGTGCGCCAGATCTGAAATCTTAACGCTACCTCGCTGATGAATCTCGTGAAGCGTAACTTACGTCTCGTCACGACCATCACGGCAGCTCTGTTGCACATCTTCTCAACCTAGCTCCCTCCACACTCCAGAGGGCAAAAATTCCGGCTGCCAGGTCCACATCAGCAACCTTTGCACATCCTCCGACAGCATAGTGAGAGGCAGGCGAGGCAGTGCTGGATCAGTCCGTCGTGGAGTGCTGGGCATTTCAATGGGGCCTCGCCAAACAGTGCGGTGGAGATGCTGGAGAAGCTCAAGCCGTAGAGTGAGCAATACATGAGAAGTCAACCAATTGCATGATGCACAATAATGCATGTGCGAGGCACGAAGGTCTGGCCACTCGAAGGAGGTCTGCGAGGAGGAAGCCTGCAAGAGTTTTGTAGGTGTGCACTGCCGGCGTTTGTAGCAAGAAAGGCAGGGTGGAGGCTTTGGCCACTCTCCATCCCTACACGGTCACCAATATGGGACCCTTCTTGTCAATATGACAGACAATAATATCTTCTGGGCACCTGCTTCCTGGAGTCATGCATGAGCAGGATCTAGCTCGGCTAAGCTCAGTAAACCTTGCATTCTCGAAACGCCTCTTTCGACAACAGCGCCGCGAGGCTACTTTCTCGCGTGCATATTGGCGCAATTGTCTTGATACGCTTTGGGCTAGTAACGCCACACATCTAGTCAAAGTCGGGAAGAGAATAGCGAGTCTATGATACGCCTGCGTTCAGAGCAGCAAAACTTTCCTGCTCTGTAGCCCATTTGCCACAACACTTTCGGAGGCGAAGTAACGTTCACCCTTATTAATGGGAGTTAGCATCTACGAGCAAATTAACTTCTCGATTGGCCAGGTGCTTCGCTTCCTACCATCTCGCAAGCCTTTTGACGGCGGAGGAGAAGGCTTGGTCATCTGGAGCACTCGATCCTAGCCTCCCTCATCAACGCGCGCATCCTGCATCCTGCATATCTGAGGACCTTGCAATATCCAGCCAGAAGGGGATTGAAGGACAGCCACGGCAACGTTAAGCTTGAGCTGAGCCACTACTGTAATGTCTTCACGTCTCCCCCAGCATGGCGCCTTACCCACCACTGCAAGGACAACACCTCCCGCGCAGCTGACCGTGGATCGCGGGATCGCCAGCGCACCCTTTGCGTCGGGAGCCCCACCACCACTTGCACTTGGAGCGAGCAGGAAGAAACAGAAGCCTCCTCAAACAAAGCTGCGTCAACATCTGTCCACGTCCTCTTCAACACCTTCGCTTCGGGCTCACATCATGTCGGATTCTGACCTCGACAAGAAGCGGAACAAGCTCGGATACCAACGGATCTCCATTGCGTGTGGTGAGTCGTGCCGTCCTGCTGCTGCTACTGTACCTTGGAAGTCTCGATTTCCACGACCCGTCCCAGCACACGCCATCGCAGCACCCTCCCGCGCCGCGACATTTGGCTGACTCCCTATTAGCGCACTGTCGCCGTCGCAAGATACGATGCTTGCTGTCCGAAGACGAGAACGAACCGCGATGCCAGAACTGCATTCGCCTCAAGAAAGAATGCGTCTTCTACCCGGTCGACCAGCAGGCCGCCATCGACGCTCGATCCGAGTCTTCCAGTAGGTCTGGCGCACAACCATCAGGCCCATCATCTGCTGTCTCCACGTCGCCGACTCAAATGGACCCGACAACTTTCGAACACGCTCATCCCTTTGGCAGCGGATTTCAAAACGTGCCGCAAGAAAGCACGCCGGGCTTTCAAGGCATGCCCATTCCGTCGAATCATCTTCAAATGCAAGGTATGTCATTTCAGCATCGACCAAGAAATCAGCGCATAACCATTGGTGCAGCGCCTTCTCAGCAATATTACCCCTATCATCAAGCAGGCCAGGCAAATCCACCCTGGCAATCTTCAGAATATGCCGTTCATGGCCAGCGAATCCCTACGAATGCCACACCTCAACTATCGCAGCCCCCTTCTCGTTACAACACAGCCAGCGGAGCGGATGTAGCGCCCTTTCCTTCATCGCCGAATGTCTCGCAAGCGGAGTCCTTTTCTCATCCGTCTGAGCAACCGCCGCAGCAATGGCAGTCACAACCGACATTGCGGTCTATGTCTTACCCTGAAAATTACCGTCCGCCTCACAACCAGCAAATGGCTGGCCCTTACGCGCCGACATGCCAGCATGCGCCCGAACATCGCGTAATGCGAACAATTCCCGGCCATGGTCATTCTCCCGTCCAGCCTCAATATATGATGCCTCCAGACCAACGTAGCTCAAGCGTGCCGGGTGTTTCTCCTTATTCACAGCCCGCACAGCAGCCTGCGCAGCCTTGGTATCCAGGTGGCCCTCCACATGGAGGATATCCAAACAGCTCAGGCTGATATGACAAGGTGTACTCAAACGGCTGAGTTGCCAGATGCAAGGAACAGGATATCAATGACGTGCTCACCACGATTGTTTGAACGAATTGGCTCCACTCTTCGTGTCAGCGCAGATGAGCCCAACAGCAGCGAACAAGCCAGGTTCGTCGTGAGCAGGTCATGTTCAACCGTGGACAGCTCCGAAGAATTGTTGGAGGATGTCGCTGAAGCTCCTCCGGTTGGGAACTTCGTCTCGCTCTTCTCCCTGCAACAATCCACCAGTAGTACGGAAAATGCCTTGGCGCAAGCAACAAGCAACCCTACAGGCAGATTTGGGACGAAGAACCAATAATAGTACTCCGAGTATACATCCGCGGCGGACGTCTTGTGCCACGGAGGCCGCAAGGCGCATCATAAAATCATCATTCAAAGCACAGCCAGCAAATATTCCGAGATGTGGCGGCACATTCACTCGCAACTGCGATTGCCTTCGTTGGACTGCAGGCGACGAATAGCGTTGAAAAAACAACTGCCGGGCATCCGAAAATCTGGTGATCAACCACACGAATCGCAAAGGTTGCGCTGTCGTACCAACGGTTATGATGCGTCACACCATCTGCACTTCTGGAAGTGGTTGAGCATGGAACTCCGTCGCAAAACCCCCTGGTCAGTTGTTGGTTGTATTGCCAACCTCTCCACAGACTAGCAAATGGCTCGTCCACATCGCCACACGAAGCCATTTAGCGCACCATGATTCTCAGCTCAGCGGATTGCGGCGATGCAGAGGTGGCACGCGACCTGGAGACACATGCAAGACATCGCCCACGTTGTAGCCATGTGCACCGATCCTACTGGACCGGACTCTTTTCGGAATTCCATCGACGTAACCGAGATTCAGAGTATCCACTGCAGCCACCATCGCAATGGCGCGAAGACAGGGGTTGTCTCACTGTTGATTTGAACCTCTACACTGCAAACCAATCTGATTCGGAGATGGAGATGGCGATGCGGAGGATGAACTCTTGAAACGAGATATAGGACATGGAAATGTACTCATCATGTGCTCGTACGTAGCGGTGTAGAGATCTCTCACAGTAAGGGGCGGGCTCCGGATGAAGACTTCCTGCGTCAAAGCACACGCACGCCAAGCATTCCGCGAAAACAACCACGTCAGCCGGACGCACATTTAATACCGCACGACTAGCGTTCCTAAACAGGATGTTTGTTTGAGGTTTGTTTACTTCTCGGCATATATATATATATCTTCCGGTCGCGTTCTTTCTCCCTTCTATATTAACCTTGCTATTATAAGTACCGTCCCTCCCTTTATCTACTACTAATTTTAACGCATAGGACGATATATATCGTAGACGCGGTATATATATCTCGCGTAGGGGTCCCTTTCTAGCATTTTAGCCGGGAAATTTAACCTCGCTATCGCTCCCCTCCCTCTTTTTAGAATCCCGCTCTATCCTCTATAATAACTCGTTAGCTATCGGCGTTTATTAGTTAAATAGGGATTAACCCCTATAGTATCTATATAGTTAGCATATAGAAGCCGCTCTATAGGTAAATAAATAGGCCTTAATTAGACTCGGTTGTATATACGTTAAGTCTCTTTAAGCGCTTAGCTTTTATCGCCGCTATCGGTTAACTATACTAACTTAATTGCCTTTATATTTCCAAACTCTAAGTCGCTAAGAAGCACATAATTATAGCAATAGCGACCTTCTAGGCCTTCGTAGAAGATAGGTATAACGACGACGCTAATAACTAGTAGCTAGATATAGGCGCTAGTTTAATAGACGACGATAAGATAAATGCTAATTAGCTAACTAAAGGAAGAGAGCCTATCTTCGAGAAAGCCGGAGAGCTAATGCTAAGCAGCGTAGACGACGAGGGTTTAGTAGTCGTAGAAGGAGATAACGAGGTCGAAGACATAGGGGTAGATAGTAGGGCAGGTAGATTGTGTTATCTAGCCGACGGAGATATAAATAAGGGTCGTTACGAGCCGTTGCGTAGCATCTCTTACTAGCGACAGGTTAACTTGCTAGCCTACCTATAAGGCGATCTCGAGGCTATTAATAACGTCTAATATAGCTTCTTCTCGCTATTCTAGACTAAAGAGGTTATAGACCGATTAGTCGACTGTACTAATAAGTATGCGAGAGACAAGCTAGGTTTTAAGAAGGACAATAAGATATATATCTCTAGTCGTCTATAGAAGCCGGTAGACAAGCTAACAATGCAGATCTTCGTAGGCTTAATTATATATATGTCCGCAATCTAAATAGACGACAAGAGCGAATACTAGCGCGAAGATAGATACTAGCCGAGACATAGTATCGCTAAATATATAAGCGAGTAGCGATTTAAATAGATTAAGGCTGCTTTGTAGTACCGGAGTAACGCGCTCTCGTTAAGCGGAAGAGGCCTACCTACCTAGACGTAGATACTGCCTCTTACTAACATTCTACGTAGCAAATTCCGCGAGGTTGTCGTACCTAGTACTAACGTATCTATTAATAAGAGCATAGTCCGGTTTACTAGTAAATCTAGGCATATTATTATAATGCGAGGCAAGCTAACACCTATCGGATATTATATCCTATGCCTATACGAGGGCGGGTACCTATATTCCTTCTTATTCTCGAGCCTACGGAAGGCATTTAAATAGGAGGAAGATAATCCGGACTCGGTAGCTTCTATAGTCTCTTAGCACCCGGTAGTAACTCTAGAGGTTCTTACGGACGCCGAGAAGAAGGAGCGGCAGAAGGAGAGTAATAAGAAGCGCCGTAAGCGTAAGAGCCGTAGTCCTAGTAGTATTAGATATAGTTAGAACATAGGTCTATATTTAATAAGGGATGTAAGGAAGGAGTGTTATATAAGAGCGGTCCGCGTAGACCGCTTATCCGAAGCAACCGAAAGCCTAATCGTATCGCCTACCGTCTCGCTTAGCGCAAAGCTAAGCTCGCTTAGGTAAGCGGTCCTTCGACTAATTTTATAACTTCCCTTCCTATAATACTTCTACTATATCTATATAGACAACCTGTTCAATAATATGCTATTATTTGCAATCCTACGACACCTCGGCATTGCGGCGACTAGAACTATACGTTCTAGGTTACTTTCGTAGCCGTAGCGAGGCAAAACCTTCGAGAAGCTAGGTATATTAAAAAAGGATAGTATAAGGAAGAATTTAACCTACCTAGGCCTTAATCGCAAGACAATACGGTTTCCCTACGATACACTGCTTTACAAGGCAATTTATAACGTAGTAGCGGTAATCTAGTAGGACAGAAACCTCGTACAGTTCCTTACGACGGGATACCGGCCTTTCGAGCGAATACAACGGCTTCGGGCATGCCCTCGAGCTAGCAATAACGCCTATATCGATAAGTACGTACGAGTCTACTAGAAGACAGACGGTAAGGAAGAGAAGGACCTTCCGGAGGTTGCTACTTTATATAATAACTATATAGGTAGTATTAACATTTATAACTAGCTACGCTATTATTACTTAACCTAATATAAATCGAGGAAGGGATAGTACCTATTGTTCTACTTCCTACTAGATGCAGCGGTTATTAACTCCTTTATCCTTCTTCGAGGTAATAAGAAGTAGACTAAGGACTAACAGTTTACTTACTAACGCGACTTCCGTATAGCACTAGTATAGCAAATACCCTATAGCGCTCTATAACCTATACGACGTAATATAGTATAACGAGGCTAATCTACAGTCCTTCTTCGAGAGCTTAAGGCCGCAACCTAATAACCCTTCGAGCGCCGCTAGCGATTAATAATAGTCGCTATTGCTTCTATATTAGACTTAGAGACTACACTTAAGGCATACTGCTGCTTTACGATTGCGGCAATTATCTTACGGAGGTAAGCAACCTAGCGCTATAGTGCCTTAAACTCCGCCCTCTTAACGACTATTGCCTTACTTTAAGAGCCTTCTTCTTTAGCGGACTAAGCAGCTACCTGCGACTCTATAACCTCCTTCTTTAGTAGAAGGTTTACGTCTACCCTTAAGTCCCTTACTGCCTCTATAAGGAGGTTTACCTTCGTAGCAAGTAGACTAATATTAAACTACTTCTTAAGTAGACTCGGCGGCTCGACAAGTGTCTAAAGTGTCTCTTTACTAAGCTTATAGCGCCTTAGTCGACGGCGTATACGAGACAGGCGAGACTTAGTTAGTAGCTAATTAGTTATTAGAAGGTCTCAATCTATAGTCTATATAGTCTATATACCTATCTCGATAGCGTACTTAGCGCTTCTATTATATAGCTTCTTCTATACCTTCTTATAGACCTTTACTTGCTAAGGTTTACTACAAAACCTTTACTAGCGACGACTCGTAAAGGTGTCGGCTTCTTAACCTTAAGCTCTACTACGGCTAAATCCGAGACCTAATCGGATACGATCGCTGTTCGAGGGGCGATATAGTTTTGTATAGGGCTATACTAAATTTAGCATCTACTATAGAACCCTCTAAGGGGATAGTAGGGGTATAGGTTCTACGGACTTAACCCTAGAGTTCGTTTAGGGGATCCTAGAGTAAAGAATAGTAAGAGCCTCCGCTAGCCGAGACCGTCGGACGGCGGGGTCCCTCCGTAGAAAGGTACGACCGTAGGAAGGGGGGACCCGTCCGTAAGATATACTCGAGGCGTAGGGGTACTATTCTATACGAGATACTACCTCTTCTACTAGAGGCTATTAGTATCTTTATTTTTAAAAGCGTTACAAATAAGTATATATTAAAAGTAACGTATATATCGTAAATCTCGTCTAATTTATTTACCTACCTCTGTATTCTATAGCAGGTTACCCTTCGTAACGAGCGTAGGGGTTAAAAGTCCGTATATACGGTATTAAATTTAGTCCCCGTTAGCTATAAGTACTTAGTATACTTAAGCAATGCGACTAGACGGAGTCTAACGGACTATACTTTCTACCGCTTCTCTCTTCTCTCTCTTAGACGACCGAGAGGTATAATATCCGCTAGCTATTATTATAAAGCAGGGTTAATTCTAAGGAAGTATAAATAATTTGCTTTAGAGGCAGAGGCAGAGGTAGGTTGTTATCGGTCTTAAATAATATTATAGTGAAAATTATATACTAACTTACTAAGATATTCTAGTAAAGAACTTAGATTACTTGCTTACTCGGCGAGATCGGCGGAGAAACGCTTCTATATAAAGGAAAAGGATTATTAGTCCGACGGTACTAGCTATAGCCTATTCGGGTAGTAATATACACACTCTCGATTAATTATAATTTTAATTATATAGAAATCTAGCCGATAAGGTTATATAGTATATATATATATAGGTAGAGTTAGAGGAGTTTTAAAAGTTCGTAACCTTACTAATAGCTATACTAATAATTACTTTACCGAGGCTCCCTAAAAAAATATAAATTAGACTAGAAATTTAGAATATTATCCTCCTTCTTCTAAAAATTTCCCGCTTATTATAGAATTAAAATCGCCTACCCTCTTACTATCCTCCCTTTCTCTAAATCCTTAATCGCCTTCTTAAAAATCCTTAAGCTATATATATAATTTAACCTTCCCTTATACCGCTTAAATACTATTAATTCTACTAGATTATTATACGAACCTCTCCGGTTTCTAATTAAGAAAGTTGATTTCCGTCGAGATATTATCGATAGTAGTCGGGATATTTAAGATTCTCTCTGTAATCTACGATATAGTAATTTCTAGAGCTCGACGGAGAGTATCTTAATTCTAGTCGACGTAGAGCTACGAAATCGATTACCGCTTCGGCTCCTTTGCCGTTTGCTTATAAATTTAAGGACTTCGTAGACGAAGGTACTAGATTCGGTTACGAGGACGGTATAGTTAGCGCCGATTTTTTTTTGATTTTTTTTTCGCTAAGGCTAGGGCGTCTGGGTTTCGGTCGATAACGATGAGCGTAGCTCCGGAAATCGCGGCCATGACTTGAATGCCAATATGGCCGAGACCTCCGGCTCCGATCATCACGCAGTTATCACCAGGTCGAAGGAATTCTGCAGCTTTCGCTGCGACAATGATGAGCGGTTTTAATCCTGCGTCTGCGAGAGCCGCGACATCGGCGGGGTGGAGTTTTGGGTCGAGTTTGATGACGGAGCGCGCAGTGGTTTTCATGAACTCTGCGTAGCCTCCGTCGACGTTGATTCCTGGGAACGTACTGTTTTCACAGTGCACGTCGTCGCCGAAGCGACATGCTCACAGGTTACGAGAGGGTGGAGGATGACTGGATCGCCGAACAGCTTCTCCTATGGCGTGGATCCAGCCGGCGTTTTCGTGGCCGATGGTGTATGGGAGTTTGACTCCCGACTTTTCTTCCCACTGCCCTTCGAGGATATGGATGTCGGTCCTTGCGAGGCGCATCAATTGGTATTTTCTACAATCAACGGAAAACGTATACAGCATACATACATACCTGCAGACACCAGCAGCGCCGATTTTAACAATTACATCCAGCGGCGACTCGATCTTGGCTTCTGGAGAGTCTTGCATCTCCAGATTCTGGTGATATCCAACGACCTTGACGGACCTCATTGTTGCCTTCCCGGATCCGTTCAATCCCTCTGAACTGCTTGTGTCACTGTCGTTCGGTCTTATGAATTGAACGATCATTCGCTGGATGGACACTTGGTCTCGATCGAACACGGTTTCTCACCCTGGTATTTGGTATTGACGTGGCGATGAACGAAGCTGGGCACGCGAGATTATTGCCTCTTCGATCTCCTCGGTGAACATGAGGTCATTGCGTCAAGCTATACCTTCTATCCCATCTAGGCGCGAAGAAACCCCTCCTCGGAGACGCGGGTCACCCGTTCATCAAGAGGCCGAGACCAAAGCTACGGAATAGGATCCGGGTTCTCATCTGCAGTGTCTGTTGCCAAGGTTGCAGAGCATATAGAAACAGCAGCCAGGGTCGAGCGGAGACCTAAAAGCTCGATAATGTGCTACCTCCATTCAGGCGCTTCGTAGTTGAATTCGTGTGTGTGCTCGTGACTTCCATTTCTACACTATACTACGTTAGGTTTAGCGCTATTCGAGATCTTATTCTAGCGAAGCGCCTAAAGCCAAACCGTTACTAGCGGGTACAGGTTGCGTTACTACTACTATATTTCATATCGAATAGGCTATATAGCTTAACAACTATTAGTCGTAGTATAGCACTTTATAGAGACGGGACCTAGATAATTTAGCGATTAAGAATATCCGCTATTTTAATAAGCTAGTCGCTTTAGAAATACTAAAGTTATTATCGATAAACGTAAATTACTACTCTCGACTAACTCGTTTACCGCTAGTAAATGCTATTAGTAGAGTAACGAGAACTTAGCACTACTACGCCGTACGTACTCGTATATAGTAAGAAAGTCGATCGCGAGTACTTTCTAAAGGGCCTCGAGTTAGTTTAGTTAAAAATAAAGGGGGGTATTACTACCGCTATTTCCGATATAGACGAGAACTCGATAGCGAGAAGTCGCGCGTAGGTACGTATAGCGAAGAAGTTAGTCGGATAGCCCTAATTAAGGACCTCTAGGTATTAACTTAGTATATAGCGATATATTAAGAATCGGTATATTTAGATAGGCGGATAGCTATAGAAGTAGGCTCGGCTAAATTAGTATAACTTAGCGCGTATACGTCGTATATACGAGATTTTTAGATCGTTAGACTCGCAATTAGTAGGGCTACAACCTCCTCGTATTAGATTTGCTAGTTATTGTTAGTATAGCGAGATCGTATTTTAATAGCGGAATCTACGATAAAAATTAGCAGTTTAGCTTTAGGCCTTTAGGCGAAGGATTAGGTAGAGTAGTATATAATTAGTTGTTCGGAAAGACGGAAGCTAGCCCTAATTTATTTAAATCTATTATATGCAATCTAACTAATTTACTACTGCGGAACGTAATCCTTAATATATAAAGGCTTAAACGGAGGTAGATAATGTAATTACGTACGGATTTAGGCTCTAGCTACATATAGTAGTCTGTAATAAAAGGCGTCCTCCGCGGTAAAATAGCCGTAATTTTAACGACATTTAGCTTTAGTGTTTAATTAAAGAGACCTCTATAGCTCGTAAAAGCGATCTTAGAGACCTATGTAACCTTAGAACGATGTTCTATTAGCATAATTTCTAGAAAATGTCGTAGGCGTATAAAAGATGCTACAAGGACTTAATATAACTAATGTATTTAGAAGAAGGACTATCTACGGAAAGTCTAAAGATAAAGTGCGTTAGTTGCAGCCTTAGGCATTAGGCACGTAATAGACCCTAACACCTAGACACACACTCTAAGTTACCCCCTTAGTACGTGCATATCGCTATAGAATAAAGCAAACCAAACATAATAGCTATTTAGTTAGCAAAGCAAACAGGGGTATTAGGTAAGCAGAAACAGGTAAACAAACTAGACCACTCTTAGGTCAAATAGACAAAGCAAACAAAGGCCCTCCTTAGTATTTAGTAGCTAGCTTCGCAGCGTTCTTAATAGCGGCCTTACAATCTACTAGGTTTAGTTATTTAACAAAGCGGCTATACTTAATCTTGTTAAGTGGCTTAGTAAAGCTATTAGCAATCTAATCGTATATACTAACCTATTAAACGACAATAGAGCTATTAGTAATCTTCTCTCGGATATAGTAGATACGAGCATCTATATGCTTCGTGCGGCTATTAATGCTAGTCGACTTAGTAATAGCGATAGCGGACTAATTGTCCTTATATAGCGTAACTAGAAGAATGTAGCCTTTATAGCCGACTTCCTTTAACAAACGAGCTAAGGCAACTACCTCCTTAGCGCCTATAGTAAGTTAGATATACTTAGCTTTAGTTAACGACAGTATAATAAGCGTCTAGCGGCCGGACTTATATAATAGAGGTCCGCCTATAATAGTAAAGTAGAAGCTATCTATAGAGCGGCGAGTAACCGGATTATTAGCCTATAAGGCATTATAGTATCTAGCAAACTTAAGGTCGTTAGCCTCGTTCTAATTGCCTTAGAAGCGCATGCTACGGCTTAGAGTACTAACTAGGTACTTAATTAGCTAAAGAAGCGCGGCATAGTGTTCCTCCGTCGGGCTAGAGATAAATCGTAATAACAAGCCTGCAGTATAGCAAGCATTAGGTCGTATAATTATAGCTAGCTACAGCGCCTTACTAATACCTTCTTAATACTAAGTCTTAAAGGCGGCACTAGCTATATAGCCTTTAGGTGCGCGTTAAATAGATGTCTTAACGTAACGAGGCGCTATTAGAGTAGCTAGACCGACACGTCTACGTATACTATACTTCTCGCAGAGCCTATTTAAGTAGGCGTCCTAAACGACGTAGATAGTGCGCTTATTACGGTCGCGGATAATGCGCATGCCGAGATAGTAGTAAAGGTCGCCTAGTTCTTATATATTAAAGCGGTCCTTTAGTAACTAAGTAACGGCCTCTAGTACTAATAGGCTATAGGCGATAATAATTATATCGTCGACGTAAATAACGATAATCGAGCCGCTAACAACGTGTTTAAACACACATACATTAGTTATTATTAGTACAAAGTTTAGGCTCTTTAAGTACTTCCGAAGCTCTTTATACTACAGCATTAGTAACTACTTTAGACTATATAGTGCCTTTAGCAATAGGCAAACTATGCCCTTGCTACTACGCTCTTTAAAGCCGTATAGCTATTTAACGTAGATCTTGTACTTATTGCTAATTAGGGCATTAAGGAAGGCTATTAGAATATCGTATTGCTTAGCCTCTAGGTCGTAATAAGCAATTAGGCCAAATAGGGCTCGAAGCGTATAAGGCTTAGCAATAGCCGTATAGGTCTTATTATAATCCTATCCTTCGACCTGTATAAAGCTACGGACGACCTAGCGCGCCTTAAAACGGCTTACATTGCTATTAGCGTCTCGCTTAATAGTAAAGACCTATCGGCTACGGACAACCTTGCGACCTTTAGGTACCTCTAGTCGAGTTATATAAACCTATATATAATTGTTAATTAGTAACTTATATTTAGCCTTATAGGCCTCCTTCTATTGCGGCTAATATAGTAACTAAGTCGCCTCCTTATAGCTCTTCGGAATAGGAATAGTGTCTCTATCTAACTGTTTAGCAACGTAGTAGGAAGCTATAAAGCCCTTTATATAGGCTATCGGCATATTAGCTATTATACGTCGAGTTAACCGCTTAATACTACAATTAGCTAGATAGCTATGTAATAGGTTACGAGCGGTCTTGTTGCTCCGTGTCTTACGTATAGAACGATTACTAACAGCTTTAGCTAGTCGCTCAAACTTAGGCAACTAGCTAGGCTCGCCCTTCTTAGCGTAAGGATCGTACGCCGGTTCTTTCTCTTTATTACTTAAAGGCGGTTAAACAGCTAGTAGGTCATCGTCGAGCGGTAGCGGACTAGCGACCTTATTAGGCATTTGCTAAGCAGGTTCGTCCGGAGGCTCTTCTTACTAGGCTAGAAGCTGCTAGACTATACTAGCGGCGTCGGCTAGTAACGGAGCCTCGTTGCTTATAGAATTAAACAGAGCCGGCATAATAGACTTAATACTAATAAACTCGCTCTTAGAAGGGTTATTAGGATTAGTATATAGATCTATGCTATTTAGAAGTAGGAGGTTACTATCTAACTTAATAAACTGAATATCCTTAGAAGCGATAACCTTACGTTAATTAGGTAGGTAGATTATATACTTTCTAGAGTCTATAGAGCCCTTAGCATAGCTAACTAGCTTGCTAACAAGACCTCTACTGTCTATCTTCTTTCTACGAGCGACACTATAATCGTATATAATAGTAGTATAGCTATAGGCTCGAAGGTACTAAAGGCGTAGCTACTTTCGAGACTAATTAAGCTCCCTAGCTACAATAGTGTAGGGGCTAAGACCTTCTAGGGTTCTAGGTATAATATTAAGGACCTATATAGCGGAGGCAATAGTATATAGCTATAGAGACTTTAGAAGGTTAGCCTGTAGCATTATCTTTCTCGCAGTCGTATATACGATGTAATTGCTAACCTTAGCAAGGCTATTCTAAGTTAATAAATAAGGTGCAGTAACTTGTAGTATAATGCCCTCGTCTCGAGCCTAATTTAATAGCTAATTTCCGCCGTATTTACCCCCTCTATCGAGGCGGTAGATTAGGATTAAGTAACTAGTCTGTATACGGATATATATACGATAGTCCTTAATAGCTACTATAGCCCCTAACTTAAGCGTACTAGTATACTCGTATCGATAGCCTAACTTAGCGTACGTAAACAGCGTAAAATAGCGCTCCTATAATAGACCTAGATTAGTAATAGTAACTACGTCTATACAGACAATATAGTAAATCGTAGATAGTCGAAGGCGTAGTAGACGATTGTATTCCTTATAAGCTATCGCTATCCGATAGGCAATGCAGTTACGGAAGTCCTTCTTAGTACTAGTAATAACAATCTAGCCTTTAGCTTCTAGCCGTAGCAGCTTACGGTAATAGATATAGCTATTATTAGCTAGTAACCGGCCCTACACCTATAGGCCAGTTTTGAGCCTATATAAGAGGCCTCCTTCTGCAGAGTAGACAGATCATTAACCTCGTATAGCATATTGTTTATATCACACTTCTACAATGCCTATATTGCAGGGCTCTAGTTATTAGCCTAAGCGACAGTCTCGTTATCCTATCTTACTAAATATAGCTGCCTATATTGCTATAGGTTATATTACCCTTAGTAGCCTATACTATTACT